GGAGCCTGCTTCTCTCTCTGCCTGTGTCTCTGCCTCTCTCTCTCTCTCTCTGTGACTATCATAAATAAATAAAAAAAAAATTTAAAAAAAAAAAGTTACCGACAAGGTTACCCCTTGAATCAGGTTGGCATCAGATTTCACAATATTCATCATAGAAGACAATGAGTCAGTGTCTGCAAACTTTTGAGGAAAGAGAGGATGACCCCAGATATCATTCAAGTATAAATATCCACGAGTACTTGTTGGAAAGGACTGCTTGATAACCAAAAGCAGACAATTAAATCAATCAAAATTGATTGATTTCGGGATCCCTGGGTGGCGCAGCGGTTTGGCGCCTGCCTTTGGCCCAGGGCACGATCCTGGAGACCCGGAATCGAGTCCCACGTCGGGGCTCCCGGTGCATGGAGCCTGCTTCTCCCTCTGCCTGTGTCTCTGCCTCTCTCTCTCTCTCTGTGACTGTCATAAATAAATAAAAATTAAAAAAAAAGTCTTAAAAAAATTGATTGATTTCAATCAATCAATTTTTTAATTTTTTCAATTTTGATTTCAAAAGCCTGGGTGGCTCAGTTGGTTGAGCATCTGACTTTTTATTTCAGCTCAGGTCATGATTTCAGGGTAATAAGATTGAGCCCTGAATTGGGCTCTACTCAGCATGGAGTCTACTTCAAGATTCTCTCCTCTCCTTCTCCCCCTCCCCCTGCTCATGCTTTCTCTCTTTCCCTCTCTCAAAAATGAAAAAACAAAAAACAAAAAACAAAAAAAACAAAAAACAGACAAACCATAAGAGACTCTTAATTCTAAGAGACAAACTGAGTGTTGCTGGAGGGGAGGTTGGTGGGGGGATGAGGTAACTGGGTGTTGGCTATTAAGGAGGGCATGTGATGTAATGAGCACTGGATGTTATAAGCAACTGATGAATCACTAAATTCTACTCCTGAAACTAATAATACACTATATGTCAAGTAATTTTAAATAAAATTTTAAAAATAAATCAATAAATTAAATCTTCAAAAAAGTCAATCAAAATAAGGAACTAGCATAGAGAAACCATGACACTGGATCCATTTACACATAGGATGAATACTAAATAATCCTAGCAATTATAGTTTCAAAACAATGCGGATATTATAAATCTGGACAACATAAAAATAATAATATAATAAAAAATTGGAAGGTGAGGGGTAGCAAGAGAGTTTTAATGTTCTCATCCTTTGAAGATGGGATATATTATTCAAATTTAAAACATTTTTTAAAAAAACCTAAATGTTTTTCATAATCATTTTTATTTAATTATAGGGTAGTAGTCCATAAACAACTGCCTGAGGGCTGACCACCTGTTTTTGCACATAAAGTTTCATTAGAACACAGCTCCACTATTTGTTTACATATTGTCTATGCTACTTTCTGGCTATAACAGATCAGAACAGCCTAAACTATTTACCGTCTGGCCCTTTAAAAAAAGTCGCCAGCCCTTGCAGAGGAATCTTTTTCAACTCACAGGAATCTTGTGGTAAAGAAATATTAACTTGAGGTTTAATAATTTGTTGAGTTCAATTCAGTCTTCCCCTCATATTAAATTCATGTCAAAAATTAAATTTAATAATGTAATATAAATCCTATTTTTATAAACTGATATATTAATCATTCCAAAGATATCAGAAATAATGGATCACCTAAAGATATTTGGTATGATTTCTTAAACTTTCATCTTTGTGTTTTTGTGCATTAATTGGAACCTTTATAATGAGCATATATCATTTTTTTACCAGAATCATAAAATAGAATGGTTTTTCTATTTGAAAACACTAGAAGCAAATATACCAAATTATTAACAATGATTAATTCTGGCTGGCAGGAATGTGATTGCTGTTTTCCTTTTTAAGCTTTTGCATATTTTTTTAAAGTTTAAAAAACAATTAAGCTGTTATAGAAGGTTGAGGCACTAAGCGACAGAGTTTTGGAAATAGTAATGACATGCCAGATATAAAGAACATTGTTCTATTTCTATGATAGTCCATATCATGTTATACAAACTACAGAGCATGGTTCCAGCCTGAAATACAAAGATGACATAAAGGAGAAGCCAGAAACATATTTGACTTCTGTTAGGCAATCGGCACATTCATAAAGCTGGTTTCTTTAGTTTGCATTAACCTACCACTTGGTTTCATCCCCTGCCCTCCCCTCCTGGTACACACACCATACTCCAGCCACAATGAGTTTCTCACCTTCCATGAAGTCTTCATGCGTCCATATGCTAGTCTGCTCTGTTGCCACTATTCTTTTTCCCAATAATTGCATCCTCTTCTCCATGTGATATGATTCAATGCTTCTTTTAAGACAGAATTTAAATATCACTTCCTGCAGTCCGCCTCAACCGTGGCTGCACATCAGAATCACCTGGAGAGCATTATAAAAATGCTGAAGCCCAGGCTCCAGCCCAGCCATTTGGGTTTATTCGCCCAGAGTTGGGGCCCAGGCAGCAGTATTTTTATTTTTATTTTTTATTTTTTTATTTTTTTTATTGGAGTTCAATCTGCCAACATATAGCATAACATCCAGTGCTCAGCAGCAGTATTTTAAAAAGCTCCCTGAGAGATTCTAACATACAGCTTGGGTCTTGAAGTCTTCTGCAATGCCAGGATACAGAGTTAATTACTCCCTCCTCCGCATTCCCATTGCCCTTAACTTTTCCATTCCTCATGAAACCTAACGCCGATCGCATTAAAGTTAGTGTTATATAGTAAGTGCTCAGTAAATGCTGAAGGTTGTTACATGCCTTCTCCCTCCAAGCAAGCAAATGCAAAGGTGGTTGTCCTTCCCAGGGGAGCAGACAGCAGAACGGGCTCATGTTTCACATCCAATAACACTGCGTGCGGGGTTTATTTCTATAATCTCAAGAGGATGTCAACTCCCAACTGTAACCCTCTTCTCCATGCCTCTACACACACACACACACACACACACCTTGAGTCTGGCTTTTACATTGTTGAGATAGCTGCAATTGAAACAGCTTTAATTTTCTGTTAAAATTAACAGAAACCAGCATTACGCATGTGTTGACTTCCCGACAGAACTGGAATATCATCTGCTTTGCACCCTCTCCTTTGTGTCATACTTTGCATTGTGTTTTATGTCGGATCCTGCTACTCTGGCTTTCAAGAGCAGGTTGTCAGGTATACTTTGTCAAAGGCTTTCAGAAAATCCAGATACATGATGCTCTGTGCCCTGAAACTGCCAATCTGTATTTTACGTCTTCGCAATGCTTGACAATTTTATTCAAGTGGAATCCTTCTTTCTTCCTCTGATTTACCTTTGCCTCCCTGACCCTGACTTCAATCAGACAAGTGGAGACCCTTCCATTTTTGCTACTGAAAATCAGCTACGTACATGCCATGTCTGCAGAACATGGTAGTGTTCACCTTGGGTAATTAGGAGGTCCTGCAGGCCACTTGGGTCTGGAGGTGAGGTGGGGCGAGGAGTGCTGGGGATGGGACAGAGACCAAGGTGGATCAGCAAGATGGAAGTTCCATAATAACACCACGTGCACAGCTCCTCGCTGTCATTAAGGCAAGGCCCATGGCACTCCTCTTTCCTCCTCCAACTCACCTAGAAGGCAGGAAATTGTGCTTCTACTCTTTCCTGTTTAAAAAACAACAACAACAACAACCCTACTTACAGTCATTTTAAACTGTCCTCACTAAATGCTTGGTGTTCACAGGATGGTGGCTGCTTACAGTTTCCCTTTGTTCATACAGGCATTTTTCAGCTAACATTTATTTGGAGAAGTGACTTTTCTCCCCTCACTTCCCTCCCCAGGCTTGATGAAATTTCTCTTTTCCCATGACCTTAAGGAGCAATAAGGTGTGGTACAACAGAGTCTAATGGCAAATTTCACTAATGTAAAATCAAATTAATCTTAAAATTGATAATCTGTGTATTTCTTGGGTACCGTGTGACCTTAAACAAATCTAATATCAGTCTTGGTTTTTTTATTAGCTAAAGGGCAAATTGTTGTCTAATTCCTTTAGAAGTTATACAGATTAATTAATGTTTGGAAAATGATTTGAAAATTTAAATCAGTCTATAAATACCAAACAGCTACATCTTCCCTGCTAGGAGGGCCCAGGTAATTCATAACCTCTTCTAATAAAGGTAAAAATAGTGTACTGGAGCTATACAATTAAATGTGATTTATATGCAATATACATATTAGTCTTTAAAAGCTCGAAGCAATTCATATTTCATAACTATAATAAAAGCATTTAATGACTTTAGAAAAGGTAATCATCTGCTGTAACTGATCTAGATATCAAGTCTCTCACTCTCTCTGAGGTTTTCAGGAGTCCACTCAAAGTTCTTTTTCAACCTATTAATGTTGACTGATACATTTATCTTTTTTTTTTTAAATCTTTTTTGGTTTGTTTGTTTTAGGGGCATGTGGGGAGTGGCAGTAGGAGAGGGAGACTCTTAAGTGGGGGCTTAATCTCACAATGCTAAGATCATGACAGGAGATGAAATGAACAGTTAGACGCTTAACAGACTGAGCCATTCAGGCAACCTGATACATCTATCTTGAAATTCTCCCAGTTTGCTCGGTTTATTTTTTACTCTTACAACTCTAATATGCATTTCCTGGGAAATTTGCCTGTGCAAAACTTTGCTGTATTCAAAATCTCTTCTGTCAAGATTTAGCACTTTTATATCATAGTCATTAAAATTGAACAAAATCTTAATAGTTTCCTTATTAACTACTATAGTGACTTTGCATAGTGGAAATCACAACATGTTAATTGGATTTAATTAACTATTTTAAATTACACAAACTCCTGACAGTAGACAATAGCACAGGGTCCTCACGAGCAATAAAATTGGAGCTGCTATTGCTACTTTATTAAAACTTAATGAAACTATTCATAATCTTATTTATTGTTTACAAGAAAACTGTGTTCATTTTGAAAGCAAAACTGCCTGCTGAAAACGAATTTTTGATTGTCTAGGTGAAGGTTCAGAAGTTAATAAAAGGGTCTACAATAGCCAACCTCACGGTTCCACCAACTTCTCACCGCACAGATCCCTACTTCACCCCCATACCTGTCCCACAAGCAGATGCCAGGAAAGGTTAGTGATTCAATGACCATTTTATGTGCTTAGGAATCTATGGGAAAGAGCATTGAGGTGGGATAGGGAATTTGAATTCGGACTCAGCCACTAATTCTCCTAGGTGACCTTAGACAAGTTGGGGTCTTCACTCTGGCCTGAATTTGCTCCTCTGTAAATCAGAAGGTTGGACTAGACAACAACTAGAGTCCCTTCCACTTCTAAAGCCCATCATTTAAATAAATAAATAAATAAATAAATAAATAAATAAATAACCCGTCATTCCAGGGATTTACTATTGATTTAGATGTTGGCGGTATTACGTGTTAAAATTATTATTGTGTTTACATGGTATTACTAGAATTTTTCAAGCTTCTGAGCAGATAGATTCTGATGCTATTCTGGTAGCATTTAAAAATTTATTTTAATATACTAGTATGCAAAAATATGAAGCCAGAATTAATGAAAATGGCATTTAAACCATTTAAATTCTACTGTTCAGGAAACCAGTGGATTTCTAGTTTTTAAACAAAAGGTCATATCATCTTCATCCCAGTATCCCCAGTGTCCAGAGCCATGTTGGTTGAATGAATAAGTAAATGAAAGAGTAAGTAAATTACTAAGGACTGAATGTTGTATCACCCTCTCTACTTCTCCCTGCTACTTAATTTAATTGGCTGAAGAGTTGAAAAATGCGTAAGTGGATTCCCTTTTGTATCTCAAATATAACCAAGGGAGATAGTCTTTAATTATTCCCATCTCACTTTCTATCTGTTGTCTGGAATAGTTTGGACCTAGAGTTGCTTCCCAAAGGTTCTCTTGGTCCTTGGAGATTTAAAGTTCTCCATCTTGTCTGCTCTTTTTACTGACCTGCTGCTGGAGAAATAGCAGAACTCAAGAGAACCCAGCATCATTAAAAGCTCCTTAGTGTGTGAAGCTCACGACTATAACTATTACTTTTTCTAGTTATAAACCATATTGTTCAGAAATCTTTGTGACATATGATTTTACTTAGTTTACATCTTTACTCCCTGCGACTGTGGAATGACTCCAGCAGAATTCTTGCTTTAATAACATCTTACATTCTTCCTGGATCAAATTAAGATGAATGAAATAGTGAATGAATGCATCAATCAATCAATATCTACCTTAGCAATAGACATAATGAAAAAAACTGATGCAAAACAAAGGTTAATCTAGAACCATGGCAACTTGACCCAGAAAAAAAAATCATTTTCATCCCTCAATTATCCACCAGAGAACAGATGGCCTACCATAATATTTGTATTTAATCAGCCAATTAATCAACATATATTTATTGAGTACTCACCATGTGTCTGGTACTGTGCAAGGTAATAGAAGCATCAGGAAAGCACAAGCCACAGAAATGTAAATACAGTGTCTAGAATTTTACATGTTTCCAATGCCCTTAACTGTCATCTCAGGTTCACACAAGTCCAGCAAGAGGTAAAGGACTGACAACACCCAGAAGAGAGAGTTGTTTTGGAAAATGCAGGACAAACTTCCTGACTTTTTCTCCAGTTACCTTGCTACATCCAAAAAAGAAAACAAACTCTTTTTTTTTTTTTAATGGTTAAGAATATATGTCTCACAGTACCCAAACCAAACTTTCAGGCTGAGTGTGACCTTAGACAAGTTGTTCTCTGGTTGCGATTGATTAATCAACTCCAAACTCTACAAACAAGGCAGACCTGACCTGCCTTCCCTTCAGTCTCTGCTGTTTCCTCTACCCTCTGCCATATGAGCTTATCCTCTGCTTCTCACTAGGCCAAGCACATTTTCAGATGGGCCTTCTCAAGTGTCTCTTTCTGTCCAGAAAAGTCACTTCCTTAAGCATCTGTCTTTTCCTTCATAGATGATTATAATTTGTAATTATATATTTATTGTGAGTTTATTTCATGTCTTTGAACATGAGGCTCCATGAGTTCTCTCTGGCTCACCACTGCACCCCCAGCCTCCAGAATAGTTCCTGCCACATAACAAGCAATTAACAAATATCGGTTGAATGAATGAACATCTAATCCCTAATTCATTCAACTGGAAAGTAAAAGTGTTATGAAAGTTTAATGAGACAATGGTGTTAAGGGATAATTTCCCAAAACAGGTAAAATTATGGATGCCATACAAACATAAAATGAACACATGTCAAAGATTTTATTTATTTAACTTGTCAATTAAAAGAGAGATCTGTAGGGGTATCTGAGTGGCTCAATCAGTTAAGGATACGACTCTTGGTTTTGGCTCAGGTCATGATCTCTTGGGTCTTAAGATCAAGACTCAGGTTGGGTTCCAAGTTCAACAGGGAATCTGCTTGAAGACTCTCTCCCTCTGCCCCTCCCCCCACTTATACTCGCTCTCTCTCCTTCAAATAAATAAATAAATCTTTCTCTAAAAGAGAGAGAGAAAGATCTATAAGATGTCACAACTGTTATAAAAGAGAATCTAAAGAACAGACATTTGTAGAGCAGGAATATAAATATAAATAAATAATATAAATAAATGTGCAAATAGATGCAAAATTGACATTTCTATGGGAAGGAGGAATGTCCTTTCACCAGATGGAATTTATTTTCAAGTCTGTAGATAAGAATTATTTGTATTAGTGTCAGGTTTTTTTTTGTTTGTTTTTGTTTTTGTTTTTATACAAAATAACCTTAATCTCTAGAGTTGTGAAATAGCTCAAACAAAGACTAGGTTCAGGTAATCCCTGAGGGCTCCAGCATTCCATTCCAAAGATATCCAGTAATCTCTTGCTTATTCCAAAACTTAAAAAAAAAAAATTCTTATAGTCTTCCACCACCTGGATTAAAATGATCTCCAAAAAATTTTTTAAAAATAAGGCTGGTCTCATTAGGTTTCTCCTGATTATTTACACAGTGCGGCAAGAACAGGCCACCTTAAGTTTGCTCTACAGGAAGTTTTCATAAGGAATCTCAGACTGAACTTTTAAAATCTTCTATTACTTGCTATCCTAAGGATAGAAAATCAAGCCCAAGGAACTCTGCCTACCACATTTCAACTACAGGATCTATAAATTTGGGTATATTCCTCTTTTCTAGAGGCATTCCAAATATCCTAATATCCCAAGGTTCTTGGGCCTGCCAGGACATGACCTTTCTACCACCTGCAAGAATGGAAACCCTATAAAGCCATGTACCAGGCCAGTTTTTTTGGAAGGATTTGTAAGCATTGGCTACATAAAGTCAACCTTAGTTCTTTAAAAGACACTTGTCATTCGTGATTAATAAGTATTCATTCTTAAATATGAAATTCCAGATAAGGTCTTGGTTACATAAGCGATTTTTCCAATTATAGCTTAGTAAAAGGAGAATAGATTTTTATTGAAACTATGCAAATAACTATATTGCCATGAAAAGCAAAGAGACTCAATGAGAGTTTCTGAATTTGAGAGATGAGGGGGAACACATTTAAAAGTATTAGAAGTTTAATCTCCTTATTTCCTAAAAATCTTAAGAAAATTCAATTAAGAATATTCAATTTATTTATTTTTTAATAAATTAATTTTTATTGGTGTTCAATTTACCAACATACAGAATAACACCCAGTGCTCATCCCATCAAGTGTCCCCCTCAGTGCCCGTCCCCCATTCACCCCCACCCCCCGCCCTCCTCCCCCTCCACCACCCCTAGTTCATTTCCCAGAGTTAGGAGTCTTTATGTTCTGTGTCCCTTTCTGATATTTCCCACACATTTCTTCTCCCTTCCCTTATATTCCCTTTCACTATTATTCATATTCCCCAAATGAATGAGAACATACACTGTTTGTCCTTCTCCGATTGACTTACTTCACTCAGCATAATACCCTCCAGTTCCATCCACGTTGAAGCAAATGGTGGGTATTTGTCGTTTCTAATGGCTGAGTAATATTCCATTGTATACATAAACCACATCTTCTTTATCCATTCATCTTTCGATGGGCACCGAGGCTCCTTCCACAGTTTGGCTATTGTGGACATGGCTGCTAGAAACATTGGGGTGCAGGTGTCCCGGTGTTTCATTGCATCTGAATCTTTGGGGTAAATCCCTAACAGTGCAATTGCTGGGTCGTAGGGCAGGTCTATTTTTAAAGAATATTCAATTTATATAAGCACTTATTTCTTTCTGTAAGTCAGCCAGAACAGAGCTCCTTTAATTTGAGACTTTACAATCTAATTTATTAATACCATCTAGAGACAAGAAAATATTCTATATTCACAATGAAAGATAAAGGCTTTTCTGAATTATGGACACATACACATACAGATACAGGCAGAGCTCATAGCTTCAACTCTACAATTTTAGCTATGGATGAAAGATAAACACAGAAACACACTTACTTGTCCAGATGCCACCTTCTTTGTGGCATGACATTCCTAGTTGATTTGAGCTCAAAATACACAAGTGGACAAAAGACTAACAAACTATATTCTCTATTGTCCCTGATTCAACATGGAATTAGATGTCTATAAGACTCTAATCCACTTATGGAGATTGCCAAATTCCCAGTCACTGTAGCTACCAATAAGGAATAACTTAGCCATACATGAACCAAAAAGAAAAACAAAAAATTAATAGGAATAATACAGTAATGCCAAAATTAGAAAAACAATCAATAAAGTTTTATTGCCACTTTTAATTCACCTGGGGGTGTTAAGAAAACACATGCCTGGACTTGGTTTCCTGTGCAGAGCATCATTTCTGGCAATTTCAGGTGAATGTTCTGCTCATCTTGTTGAGATATCCAAAATTATTAAAGGGTATATATATATTTTAGAGTAAAACCATAACTCTTATACAACTATAAAATGAACACATCAGAGATTTTATTTAACTCATTGATTAAATGAGGGTATCAGTAAGATGTTATGATTCCAAGGAGAATCCAAACAACAGACACCTTTACAAATCAAGAATACTGAACTAAATTTGCAAATGGACAAACAACTGGCTTTTTTTTGGGGGGTGGAAGCATCATTGCTCTGTGTGACAGAGTTTCTTTGCATGCGTATAAAACAAGAAACTTGCACTACTTTCAGTTTTCTATAAATTAACCTTAATCCCTAGAGAATTATAATAGTCTCATCAAAAACAAAGGTGATTATAGAGTCAGATCATCTCCACAGATTCCAGCATTTCAATGAAATGATACTCAGCCTCCTGTGTTTATCCCAAAGTCTTAACTTTTTCCTCCCAACAGTAAATGTATACACATGTGTTTATCTAGAATTAAGTGAATTGCTCCAACCAATATTAAAGCAAAGGTCAAAATCATGCTCACATTCCTTGAGATTCTGAGTTCAGTAATGAAAATATACTGAATTAAAAGGAGCTCTGTTTTTCCCATCTGCAAGTTGGGCATACTTCTTAGAAATGGGATTTGATATTTAAAGGTGGAAAATATTTATGAGGACAAAGAATTACCCTTACCATTTTAAGGTAGTTAAATCCATTGTTAGAAAAATTAAAACCTGAAGTCCTAATTTCAAAAGGGGCATAATGATAATGAACAGTTCTTAAATTTTAAAAGTACAAAAGATTGACCTGGAGTACTTACTTTAAAATGTAGATTACTGGGCTCCAATTCTACTGGTTTTCAAGCTTCAGGGAGCATTAAGTATGTCCTGGAGGCCTCAATAATACAGATTCCCAGACCCTAGTCTCAGAAGTTTGGAAAGGCCAAGGAGAGGACCCAAGAGTCTTCATTTTTAATAAGAAGTTCTCCCTCTGAAGTGATTCTGCAGTAAGCAAACTGAAGGAGGTTTTTCTTTGGAATCATTGTTTTACGAGTGAAGCCTTCTTGAACTCCCTAATCCCCTAGTGATCATTTCTCTGAATTCCTAGAACACTAGACTTTAGCATCCTTGATAGAACATACATTGTCATCGAGGTCCTAAGACAAACAGAAACAGTATCTGTTCCCCTTAGGATTTGGGCCAATTTCTTCAACTTAGTCTAGCTTGGTACACAGCTTGCAGACAAGGATTTCCTTGAGACCCAGAGTTCCTTACTTTCCTTCCTAGTACATAAGAGCAATAAGAAGCTGAAGCCCTATTACAAGTTTATTTCACATCTTCCCTGTGTTTCTGAGTTTCTGGCTTCAATACAATAGACCCACCTAAATGAACACATTGCCCCACCAGAAGGCTTTGCTCAGTTATTCATTGATCCATTTATTTGTTTATTTATTTAATAGTCTCCTGTCCTTCAAAAGCCCTGGTTCCAGCCATGCTGACATAGTATGAGTTCTAGGAATTATAAATTAGGTGAATTAAGACTATCCATGTTGACTAGTTACACTAAATTCACCTATGTGGGCAATCATGTCTTCTGGTGACATGAGAAATATCTAAAAATAATTCTCTTTTTTTTCTTTGTTTTTTTTAGAGAGAGCGAGATTGAGAGAATGGGGCATGAGGGGCAGAGGGAGAGGGTAAGAGAGAATCTCAAGCAGGCTTTGCACCCAGCGTGGAGCCCAACACAGGGCTCGATATCATGACCCTGAGATCACGACCCTAATAAGATCATGACCTGAGCTGAAATCAAAAGTCAGCTGCTTAACTAAGCCACCCAGGTACCCCTAAAAATCACTTTCTTTTATAAAATATGACTTGTAACAATAGAAGAATAGTTGTAAGCACACAGATTTTCTTTCTTTCAGAACAAAACCTCTCCTTGGTTATGAAGACCGTGGACTTGATTCCTCTGCATTTTAAAAAGAGTAACAATGTTATTGATCATTGAAAATGTTAGGTATAAAGATGTTTTAGTTTGCACTGAAGTTATATTTCTACCTTAAAATGAAATTATCTTAATACAAGTTTATTTTATAATAGCACTATTGGAAATGCCATTTTATCTTGGGTTATAATATTAGACTTAAATGAATGTGCACAACAGTGGTTTCTTCGTGCAAAGGATTAAAGCACTAGATGTGCTCTCACAAATAAGAAGATGACTAGAGTAAGTTTTACCTGTGAAATTCATGGAGCTCAGACTTTGTAGAAATGCTTGGAGTTGGGCAGCCTGGGTGGCTCAGTGGTTTAGCACTGCCTTCAGCCCAGGGTGTGGTCCTGGACACCTGGGATCTAGTCCCATATCCGGATCCCCACAGGGAGCCTGCTTCTCCCTCTGCCTGTGTCTCTGCCTCTCTCTCTGTGTCTCTCATGAATAAATAAATAAAATCCTAAAAAAAAAAAAAGAAAAGAAATGCTTGGAGTTAAAATCATATTCTTCTAACCTTCCTTTTCAGGGATTTTGAGTATGATAGAACGAGGGCTGATTCCACCAACAGCAAGGATTACCTTTCAGAACCCACCCATTATACCAAGAGCAGCCCCTCTGCATAATTTGGATGAAGCACATAAGATTCCAACTGCCGGTAAGACAGTCTTGCCTACATGCTTAGCTGGGGATATGTAAGAATTACTTCTCACCAAAATCTAGTCTTCCAGTATCCAACTTTTATCTTCAATGATAGGGCAAGATGAAAGCTGTAATGGTTCTGAGTTTCACTTGACTGAATAAAGTAACTTTAGTCTCTTTGTCAAACACCTACACACAGCCTGTTGTTGTCTGTATGTTAGAAGGTTGGTATTTTCAAGGGGCCTGCAGCTCAGTTGGGAAAACAAGACAGAAAAAAGATAAATAATAATACAAAGAAGCATAGCATAGAAACCAAATGGATGTTAAAGTCTAGTGCTACAGGTGTTCAAAGGCACAGCTGTGGAGGGGTGAGATAATAGACTTCAAAGAAGAGGCTGGATGAAATAGTGTGTTCAAAAAAAGCACCAACCTGGGAATCTACTAACTACTTGCAGAAGCCCAGGCAAGCCATTTACTTTCTCTGGGCTCCAGCTTTCCCCATTACAAAATGAGGGAGTTTGAGCTAAATGGACTCATCTGTTCAACAAGTATTTGCTGAATGCTTGCTTTATCAAAGGTAGCATTTAAGTGCTGGGGATCCAACAAAGAATAAGTCAGACAACATTTCTGCCCCCATGGTGTTTATATTCCAGTGGGAGAAACAGATAATAAGCAAGTGAGTAAATGAGAATTTAAACTAGTGGTAGGTGTTAGAAATAAAACAACATGAATGAGAGAGTGGTAAGGAGGTGGTTACTTTGCTTATGACTGAAGGGTTAGGGAATGCCTCTCAGAAGATATATGAGGCTTGAGTTGAGGTAGAAATGATCAGAAGAAGTCAGTCATGTAAAGATCTAGAGAAAAGCATTTCAGATACAGGTCAGTACAGATATAAGGGCCTAAGGACTAAGGAGGGGATGAACAAGGCTGGTCTAGCTAGAGAACCAAAATCCAGGGAGAAGAGGGAGGAAATGAGGTTGGAAAAGTAGATGGGAATGATGACTTGGATGGAGCAGAGACTATGAGTTGTCCTCAATATTCATTCATTCCTACTTCCACAGTAATGGAGTCATAGATGGGCACATGTCAGCTTAGCTAAAGACATTTCCCAGGCTTCCTTTCAACTAGGTGTGTCCTGTGACCAGATTCTGGACAAAGAGGATGGAAGTGGAAGTGGGAAGGGAAACTTTGAGCTGAATCTGTAAGAGAAAGGGAGCATGGTCTCTACCTTTCCTTTCTCCTCTCTGGCTAGCTGGGATGTAGATGTGATGGGCAAGCACATGAGAGCTACCTGTGAGGTAGAACTCCATGTTGCATCTCTGAGTCTGGCAGAGCTGCCCTGCCAACCTGGGACTGTCTTCTTTTCAACTCTTGTATGTGAGAGAAATAAACTCTTAAACTCTTAATTTGTTTAAACCACTCTGTGTATTTTAGGATCTTTCTCTGTAAATATCTTTGACTATAGCAGAACCAGCATGGCAGCCTTTCAAATCATGATGAAGAGTTGGATTCAATCAAGTATAATAAGAACCCACTGAAAGGTTTAAATAAGAGGATGAGGTGATCTGATTTATATTGTAATAAGATCATTCTGACTGCTTTACAGATAATGAATCATAGGGGAGGAAGCAAAAGTGGAAGCAAGAAGACTAGTTCAAGGCTATTTCTGTAAACTAGTTGAGAAATAACAGTGGATTTGAGGAGGTGTCAGAGGATATAAAGAGAAGTGAAAAAAGTCAGGTAGAATTTTGGAGGTGGAGCCATGATGACTGGCTGGTGGATAGGAGGGAAAGAGAGACATTAAGGATAAATATGTATAAATGTATGAATGAATTATGTATGAATGTGCCCCAATTTTTTATCCATTCTACTGTTGATGGGAATTTCATGGTTTATAGTATAGGGCCATTAGGAATAAAGTACTATGAACATTCTCATACTTGTCTTTCAATGCACATATATATGCATTTCTGCCGGAAACATATCAAAAAGTAGAATTGCTTCGTCATAGAGTATACATATGCTCAGATTTAATAGATATTGCCAAGTGATTTTCCAAGGTGGTTATGCTGATTTATTTTCCTACTAGCAGTACATGTGAATTCCAGATAATATATATCTTTCTCAACATTTTATTTCAGTTTTATTTCTTTTTAAATTTTAGCCATCCTGATGAGTTTGTCGTGGTATCTCTTTGTGGGTTTAATCGTCACTTCCCTGATGATGAATAAACTTGAGCAGTTTTTTTGGATAAGTGTATTCATCATTTGAGTATCCTCTTTTAAAAGGTGATTTAGGACTTTAACCTATTTTTAATGGATTTTCTTGCTTTTTCTTATAGAAAACATTTATACATTCTGGATTCTAATCTTTTATCAGTTATATGTATTGCAAATAATTTTTCCTAGTCTGTGGTTTGGCATTTCATTCTCCTACTGGTATCCTTTTATTTATTTTTATTTTTTATTTTTTTTATTTTTTTTAATTTTATTTTTATTTTATGATAGTCACAGAGAGAGAGAGGCAGAGACACAGGCAGAGGGAGAAGCAGGCTCCATGCACCGGGAGCCCGATATGGGATTCGATCCCGGGTCTCCAGGATCGCGCCCTGGGCCAAAGGCAGGCGCCAAACCGCTGCGCCACCCAGGGATCCCTGGTATCCTTTTATAATTGAATGTTTGACTTTGAGATCATTGTAGATTCACATAGAGTTGTAAGAAATAATATGGAGAGATCTCTTGCACTCTTAATAATAATGTATGGCAAAACTGTAGTGCAATATTGGCACAGCTAAGATATAGGATATTTTCTTCACCAGGAGAATACCTCATGTTGTCCTTTGATAGCCACACACACTCCTCTCCCACCCACACCCCTTCAACAATCCCTGCCAACAATAGTCTGCTCTCCATTTCTATAATTTGATCATTTCAAATATGTTAAATAAATGGATGCACGCAGTGTGTAACCTTTTGGAATTGGCTCTTGTCACTCAACATAATTTGTCCAGTTTGTTGCTTATATCAATGGTTTGTTTCTTGTTATTGCTGACTAGTACTCCATAATATGACTGTAGTACAGATTTAAACCATTCACTTATTGAAGGATATGATGTGGTTTGTTTCCTGTCTGGGGCTACTTTGAATAAAGCTGAATGTGAACCAGATTAATAGATTCATATCCAAACAACAGAGTATAAAAAGGGGGGAAATAGAAAATATACAGTTCAGAAACTTGACAAACCCTGCCTCAACCAAATGATCATGGTTAATAGCACCAGTGATGCCATGTTGATAGCCTATGTCCTCTGATACGATGTGATAAAGAGGGTACTTCACCTCTGTGGTATTCTGCCGAAAACCCCATACCCTACTCTAACCATGAGAAAGATATCAGATAAATCCAAAATGAGAAAATTCTATAAAATATTGACTAATACTCCTTAAAACTATTAAGAACATGAAAAATAAGGAAAGACTGAGAAACTGTCACAGACCAGAAGAGACTAAGAAGACATGATAGCTTAATACACTGTGATATCCTGTTCGATCTTGGAGCAGTAAAAGGACAGTGTAAAAACTTAGTGATATCTGAATGAAGACTGGGATTTAGTTAATAGTAATATACAAATGATGGTTTCTTGTTTTGACAACTGTACTGTGGTAATGAAAGATATTAACATTAGGGGAAATTGAATGAGGGTGTACAGCAACTTTCCTGTACATCTAAGATTAGTCCAAATTTAAAGTTTGTTTTTTTTTAAATATAAAAAATAAATGGTTGGAAAAGGCATCAATTAAATATAAATTTAAAATTAATAAAAAGGAGATAGACAGGAAAAGATACACCATGCAAAAAATAATCAAAAAAATCTAGATTGCCTCCATTAATATCAGATGAACAAGACACACTGGCAAGGATAAAGAGGGATATCAGTGATACAAGGAAAAATCCAGCAAAAAGAAATAACAATCCTAACTGTGTATGTACCTAACAATAGAGATTCAAAATACTTGAAGCAAAAATCAATAACAATATAGATGACTTGAACATTATCAACCTATTTTAACACATCTAAGGAATTAAAACAAATAGCAGAATGCTTGCTCATTCATTTCAAATGCACATAGATCATTCAGCAAAAGAGACCATATTCTGGACCATAAAAAATATTTTAATGAACTTAACGTAAATTATACAAAATATGTTCTCTCACCATAACGTAGTTAAACCAGAAATGAATTAGAGAAAACTATCTCAAAAAATTCCCAAATACTTGCAAATTAAAGAACATACTTTTAAATAACCCATTGGTCAAAGTGGAAATTACAAGGATATTTAAAAATATTTTTAATTGAATGAAAAGTAACACAACATATAAAAATTTATAGAATGCAGCTAAAATAGTATTTATATAGAAAATTATAGCATTAGATATTTATATTAGAAAGTAAGATCTCAAATTAATTATCTAAGCCCCAACTTTAAGAAACTAGAAAAAGAAAAGCAAATTATACCAAAAGCAAGAAGAAAGAAATAATAGAAATGAAAATAAAAGGCAATGAAATTTAAAATAGATAAAAATAGAGAAATTTACTGAAACCAAAATATGTTTCTTGGAAAATATCAACAAAATTTGTAAACCTCTAGCCTAACAAAAGACTATCAAAGATAAAAAGAGAGAAGACACAAATAACCAATACCACAAATGAAAGGGAGACATCATTACAAATAATATAGACATTTAAAGGATGATATGAGAACATAAATAGCTTTATGACCATAAACTGGAAAACTCAGACTAATTGAAAAACTCTTAAAAGACAGATATTATCGGGAAGCCCTGGTGGCCCAGCAGTTTAGTGCTGCCTTTGGCCCAGGATGTGATCCTGGAGACCCGGGATCGAGTCCCACATCGGGCTCCCTGCATGGAGCCTGCTTCTCCCTCTGCCTATGTCTCTGCCTCTCTCTCTCTCTCTCTCTCTCTCTCTGTCTCTCATGAATAAATAAATAAAA